CTTATTTGGAGCTGCACAACTCTACATGCATTGGTGGTCGATCTTTCCAGGTCTGGTACCATCTATTCGCCACCCGCCTGAGTCCTTGAGCGCAGGAGATTTTGCTTATGATCAAAAGTATTGGGCCACCTGCCTTTACACGCACATGAACCTTAATGGTATCCCAGCCTTAGTCCACAAGATTCAATAGTGAGATGGTCCGCTATAGCTGCTTCCACTTTTCTGGGAAGGTTGTCCACAAGGTTTAGGAGTGTCTATGGGAATGTTTGATCATTCTTCCAGTAGCGTATTTGTGAGGTCAGGCACTCTGATATTGAACGAGAAGGCCTGGCTCCGCTCTAATTCATCCCAAAGGTGTTCTATCGGATTCAGGTCAGGACTCAGTGCAGACCAGTCAAGTTCCTGATGCTTTTTGAAGGTAAAGGCTGGTCATGCCAATATTGATTTGAGTTAGATTTCTCTTCTGTTCATTTGCTCTCCATTTTGTTAATTGATAAAAATAATCTATGTTTTTTTCACACATGCCTAAAACTTTTGCACAGTAGCATATATGTTGAAACATATAGAAGAAACTACTCTTGATGACTGTAATCAACTTCATGACATGGATATTGTTGATTACTTAATATTGTTTTTGTTTATTTTGTACTGTCTTGTTGATACTGCACCCCTAAAAACACTCATTAAAAAAGCATGTGATGAAAAAAAATATGGTCCACTACTATATATTGCCAATTTAGACATGTATTACATAAGGGATTTAAAGCTTGTGATAGATTAATATTAAAGTACAAATGTGTCAAAAGAATGATTGTTTTGCTCTAGCCTAGGGTAAGGTTGGTTTGAAAGGATTCCCGTAGCTATTTCACTAGGTTAATAGCAAAACATTTTATAGGCTTCATAAAACATTTATGGCATTAAAATAGGTATATTTGTCTTGCTAGTCTATCTATTACTAGACTTTTTAAAAGAGAAATTGACTTTTGGGGTGAGATTAATGAGAGATTATGTTTTCAAAATTAGTGTGAGGCAGAAAATCTTGCTCTCAATGTTTTTGATAAGACACTGAAAGAGTTCTCTTGTTTTTTTTTAAGGCACCTAATATTACAGCAAAGGAGCCTGTATTCAGTTTTTGTTGAAATAAAAAAAAAAATAGAAAGTTTCTAGAGCGGCAACAACAGATGATATGTATTCATTCTCTTTTTTTCTCTCTATATATCCATTTAAGTCTCTCTGTCAAGAATTGTCTGCTTCATGCCACAGTCATTATCTGTATCTGAGAACAAAATCTCTTTATGAACTGTTGAGACGTAGAGGAAAGTGTGCTTCATAATGCTGAAGGTAAAATACAAAATGGAATTTGCACCACTTGTTTTTACAAATACCCCATCCTATACTGAAGTTGACGCTGCATGGAACGGCAAGAGGTGATAACCCACAGAGATTTGCATGGTGGAAATTAGATTTTGATAAAAAGGCTTGATAATTAATTGGAGGGGAGAAATATATCACCTTGCACAGTTAATGTAAGGTGAGGGATAGAGTCACAATTGTGTGATTGAACATGGTAAAGTCACGCTTTCACCCTATAGTGGACATTTCCAAATCCACAAATGCTTATACTGACAATGCTGGATGTTGGCACAGTGGAGCTTACGTTACAGGATTTTGCTCTTTGGATTTCTAGTCAGCCATCCCTATTGAATTATAATCTCTCTGGATAAATCTGTTCAGAAAGCAGAACACAACATTGCAGGTTTTGCAGTCACAAAACATAAAATTAAATATATACAGTGGCACTGATTGTTTTTTTTTTTTCTCTTTTACAGTGTGTTTTTTTAATATGATTCCAAAGGGGTTAGTAATGTCTGACACTAAATCATTTCAGCATATATAAGAAGTTTCTGATAAGCCTATTATTTTGTAGGATTTGATTACTTCATAGAATAAAGACAGGTACCCTACAATTTCTTCAGTTTGAAATAGTTTATACTGTATATTGATTGTGGCAAAAAGTTTTATAAAGATGTTGTGGGAAAATACCTACTACGAGCAACCAATGAAGACATGCGTTTGCAAAAAATGCATTTGGGCGGAACTACATGCTGGCATCATGCCTCCACTTCCGATTCCGGAGATGGTGGCCATCTTTGTAAGTGCACTGTGATTTGCTTTTATTACTTTGGCATCCAGATGCAAGTGTTCACTAAAGTGTTTTTATGCAATTTTAAAATAAAACTACTACACTATATATGGCCCCGGTGTCCCGGCTCCTTACGGTGAACACTTTTTCCTATACAATGGTGGTGCACATGATTCAGCATCCTTAAGTGGCATGTGTTGGTACCACCGGGAGACCCCACGTGTGTGGATGGAGCCAGGTCCATCCAGGAAAGGTTGTGATTGATCGATACAAATGCACTATTGGCTGCGATAGATGCTGGGAATCTCGTGAGTTCAGTAATGTCTTCATTCACAAGTGGTGCTGGATGCCTCAGAAGGTGATAGTCACGGATTGGTTCATTGGACTCTCACATGGACTGCTCTTATTCCTTTAAAATATATATATATATATATTTTTTTTTTTTGAGAACTAGCATCAAGGGTAAAGCTTTTAAAGTACACAGCCACACGCTTTCTTCCTTTTAAGGTCCATTTTAGCCCAATGTTATTTAAAAAGAAAGTTCCCTAAATCCAAACATAAATGATTTCCCTCACAAGGGTTTTCAGCATTTCACTCTAACATATACAGACTTTTAGTCTCCTGGCTTATTGTCAGGGTCCTGTCCATGGCAGAAGTTCCTGAAGGTCTGGCATTTCTGCAAGTACCCTGCATGGCCGCAGAAGCACGCATCAGCCTCAGTTAGGTGCCTTTAAAAGGAGGCTCATCACTTCCTCAAGTTGCTGGATGATCTCTAGCTCCCTGTGTCTTGTTCCTGTTTCCTGCGATTTCCTGATACCGACTCGGCTTGCTCCTGGACCTGTCTACTCTGATTTACCCCTGATCTGACCTCGGCTTGGCTTACGGATACTCTCTCTCTCGCTCCTCTGTGTATGACTTTGGCTATCCCATCTAACTACGTCCTGCTCTGATTCCCACCTGGTATCTGACCTTGGCTTGAACCAACTACCCAGTAAACATCTAAATCCCGGAAGGGCTTGCATACCACGCACAGGAGCCTCCTGTCTGCAGACCTCATCTCCGTGCACCAGCTGTGCTTCTGAGTGGACCACCAAACCAGCACTCCTACAGGCGACCTGTGCAACTTTGGGCCTGACTCCCGCTTGTCCCACTCTCAGGGGAGTCCGCAACATAGCTGCAAGGGAAGCCCTCTCTCCATTGGCCTCCATCACCAGGTACGTGATACTTATACATACAATCCTGCTGCTCTGGCCTTCCACTTCAGGCTCATGTCTGTCTCCTGCAGACTCTTTTCTAAATGGCTCTTTCAGTTATACAGCTAGAAGCCCCTTGCTGCTCTGGCTCCCACCTCTCCTTGATGGAGCCCTCCTGACTCCTGGGTAACATCCTCCTGTCTGCTGGGGTGGAGCTCAGAACCATGGTTAGGCCTCTACAAAAAGGCCTGCACACACCTGTGTAATCTGTGTCCTGGCTGTTCACAAACCCTGGACCCAGGACTGCAGATTTTAGAAAACCAAGAAGAAACTGAAAAGCCAGTTTCCTCTGCATTAGGCAAACCCCCTGGAGCCCCTCAACCTGACTGGATGAGAATCCTGGGTTATAATCCTATAATCCGCATTTAGACCCTGGCAGGGTATCGCACTGCTTTTATATATATATATATATATATATATATATATATACAGTATATATATATGTTTACTTTATTTCTTCACGTTTTATGCTGTCACAAGTTGTTATTTATTTTATATAGTATCACTTGGAGACTGTATTTACTGTTAGGTGCTGCACTTTTGGTTTTTTTTACAGAAGAATATGACTGTTATGAGCATAAGAGTTATTTTTGTTTGGTTGGTTTTGTTTTAGTTTAAAGGGAAAAAACATTGGGGGGAATTTACAAAACTGGAGCAGACAGAATTTAGGGCAACTGTGCATCGTAACCAATCAGTTTCTAGCTTTAGCTTATTTAGTGAAGCTTTGAAAATGAAAGCTAGAAACTGATTGGTTGCCAGCCACAGCTGCTTCTGATTCTGCCTGCTCCAGTCTTTGCATATTCCCCTCATTGTATTTCTTATTCAAATATTATGTATTTATTTATTTCAGGTACTTATATAGCGCTGTCAATTTAAGCAGGGCTTTACATATATATTGTACATTCACTTCAGTCCCTACCCCTCAAGGGGTGTACAATCTAAGGTCCCTAACTTACACACACATACTAGGGCCAATTTTGACAGGAACCAATTCATCTACCAGCATTTCTTTGGAGCATGGGAGGAAACCGGAGTACCCGGAGGAAACCCACGCAGGCACAGGGAGAACATGCAAACTCCAGGCAGGTGGTGCAAATAGATCAACTTATGCAGTTAAGGAGTTAAGGGAAGAACATGTGAAAAAACTTGTATTAAAGCCTAAGTGCAGCCAAAATCAAAAACAGAAAAATCAACATAAGGAAATATTCTATTAGTAGTAATTCTCCTCCTTCCTGCACCCCCCCCCCCCCACACGCACACACACACCATATTCTTCCAGTGTGGCTGGGGTTAATACAATTTAGGGGCTGTCACAGGCTCTCATAAAGGGAGCGCAACTATTACTGTCCAGTTGCTCCACTCATAGCAGGCAAGCTACAGTCTCTGTGAATGAAACAGGATCTAAGAATGGAAGATGGATATAAGATTGCTCAGCCCCCTCCATTTATAGATCCTGTTTCATTTATAGAAGCTGTAGCACAGTTTCTTGACTTACTTGGTAATTTGTATCTGGTGAGTTCATTTCCATTGAGTCCACAGATTTGGGGTAAATTGGAGGTATTTAATTAATCAGTTTCTTCTTTCATAAACAAAGCGTTACTAAACCCAGGACCCTGCATTTACTCTGTCTGGTCTTACACAGATCATGGAGATGCAATTATTTTAGTACATTTACACTGCTAAATAACTTTTCTCATCAGCAGTTAGAGCAGTCTTGTGACTTATATCAGTGTTCAGCAGAGCACTGGTTAAAGCTTGAGGAGGAGTTTTCTTTCTGCTCTAGGAGGATGCAGAACCCCTGACCTCTGTCTGGATAGTGCCCATTGGCCCTGTGCTGATCACCTGCACTCCCCCAAGACACACTAAACTGAGCATGTGCAGAGTGTCTCTACATGATATGTCTTGACAGGAGATAAGAGGGGGGCACTGGAAGAAGGGGAGGATCAGAGAAGTCAGAATCAAACAGCATTTTTACACAATGCAGAGGATTACACATTAGGTTCCACAGTGAGTATAACAAGCATGCTTTACTGCATTTACAGACCAAATTTACTGTTGTGAGTTTAGTAACCCTTTAAACACTGGATTTTGAGCGCTGGAGGAGTTTAATTTATGGATTGAAAGTTGGAGAAAATAAAGAAGATTGTTTTGTTGACACTTAAGCAAATTCTTGTTGCTCATTTTATGTGTGCTAAGCATGCTTGTGGAGCACAGTTTATAAATTTGCACATTGTTGTTATATGTTTGTACATTAAGGTACACTGCTCAAAAAAAATTAAAGGAACACTTTGAAAACACATCAGATCTCAATAGGGAAAAATATCATGCAGAACATCTATACTGATACAGACTGGGTAATGTGTTAGGAACATAAGGATACCCCATCGTTTGATGGAAATGAAAATTATCAACCTACAAAGGACTGAATTCAAAAAACACCCAGAAAATCAAAAGTGAAAACAATTATGCAGCAGGCTAGTCCATTTAGCTGAAATTTCATTGCAGCAACTAAAAATGGTACTCAGTAGTTTGTATGGCCCCCACGTGCTTGTAGGTATGCCTGACAATGTCTCAGCATGCTCCTAATGAGACCACAGATGGTGTCCTGGGGTTTTTCCTCCCAGATCTGGACCAGGGCATCACTGAGCTCCTGGACAGACTGAGGCGCAACCTGGCAGCGTCGGATGGACCGGAACATGATATCCCAGAGGTGTTTTATTGGATTTAGGTCAGGCAAGCGTAGGGGCCATTCAGTGGTATCAATTCCTTCATCCTCCAGGAACTGCCTGCATACTCTGATCACATGAGGCCAGGCATTTCCGTGCACCAGGAGGAACCCAGGATCCACAGCACCAGCGTAGGGTCTGACAATGGGTCCAAGAATTTCATCCCGATAACTAATGGCAGTCAGGATGCCATTATCCAGCCTGTAAAGGTCTGTGCATCCCTCCATGGATATGCCTCCCCAGACCATCACTGACCCACCACCAAAACGGTCATGCTGAATGATGTTACAGGCAGCATAACATTCTCCACAGCTTCTCCAGACCCTTTCACATCTGTTACATGTGCTCAGAGTGAACCTGTTCTCATCTGTGAAAAGCACAGGGTGCCAGTGGCGGACCTGTCAATTCTGGTGTTCAATGACAAATGCAAATCGAGCTCTATGGTGCTAGGCAGTGAGCACAGGGCTCACTAGAGGACATCAGGCCCGCAGGCCACCCTCATGAAGTCTGTTTCTGATTGGTCAGAGATTTTCACACCAGTGGTCTGCTGGTGGTCATTTTGTAGGGCTCTGGCAGTGCTCATCCTGTTCCTCCCTGCACAAACAGCAGATACTGGTCCTGCTGATGGGTTAAGGGTATTCTACAGCCCTGTCCAGTTCTCCTAGAGTCTACCTGTCTCCTGGAATCTAATTTATGCTCTTCAGATTGTGCTGGGAGACACAGCAAACCTTCTAGCAATAGCACGTATTGATGTGCCATCCTGGAGGAGTTGGACTGCCTGTGCAAGCTCTGTAGGGTCCAGGTATCTCCTCATGCTACCAGTAGTGACACTAACCCTAGCGAAATGAAAAACAGTCAGAAAATATGAGTAGGGAAAATTTTCAGTGGCCTCCATCTGTAAAACCATTCCTGATTTGGGGGTTGTCTCATTATTGACCATCTAGTGCACCTGTTGTTAATTTCATTACCACAAAAGCAGCTGAAACTGATTAATAACCCCCTCTGCTACTTAACTGACCTGATCAATATCCCAGGAGTTTAATTGACTTGATGCTATACTCTGATTAAAAAGTGTTCCTTTAATTTTTTTGAGCAGTGTGTATTTTACACATTTATAGTGCGGTCTATTGGGGGAACACTACTCTTCCTCACAATAATATTGAGAAAACAATTGTAAGATGTTATTCTCTAATATACCTTGTAGATTGCTGTATGCGCACCATAAAAAGACCTGTGTAACGTGTATGCATGCTCTTGTATAAATGTACTGCCTTAAAACTCACACCATCCTTATGCTGCTAACATTAGTAAACAGATGTATATCATATTTACTTGTTTAATTTTTGTTTTTACATTTCTTCAGTTACTTCCTGGTTTCCAGGCGTGGGCAAATAATGTCATACATCCCAGGAATCTTTAGGGGGAAGGAGGGGCTTTCTCAGCTAAGTACACCCTCCTGCCTGAGCTAAGGGCTAGTGGCTTCCAGATTCCAGAAAGTAAATTCTTCTGCCCTTACTAAAGATGGCCATAGCCAGAATTGCTAGAATGGTGTTTTTCAAAGTGATTTCTCAGAATATAAAACATGGAGACATGGATGGATGGGGGAGTTAGCTTTGAACATTAAAAATTAATTAAATAATGTTTTTTAGTTTGTACTTCTCAGATGCAGTGTAGTTCAGCTTTAACCTCTTCACTACGGTGCCTCCCGGCCATTTAAGGGGTTTCAGATGCCGGGAGGCGGGGCAGGGTTTTAGGGTCATGTGACCGCCACGATTTGCTGTCACGGCAGTCACATGATCGGAAAAAGTCCCGATCGTAAGGAAAGATTGGGACCTTTCCGTGAGACACCGACATATGTGAGGGGAGTGCGCAGGCTGTGCGCAGTCAGCACAGGTGTTTTCAAATGGTAAGCAAATATGCGGCCACTCTGCATCAAGGTCCAGCCGCTGAGAAGCCGCATATTTGCGTAATGGTCGGCCTCAAGGAGTTAAACACAGAATGTAGAGAGTTTAATGGCATCTACATGCAGACTTTCTCCTGCAATTCCACATGCTAAAGCTGACATCATCTTGGGCTATGCTAATTAACAAAGAGACTCCAAGTAAAAAACATCCATTGTCCAAAACATCACATATGCTCACTCCAGGTAATTAAGCCAGCTTCTCAGTCACAACCCCCCACCTCTGCACTTAAGGCCCCCTCTGACAAGACATGTGCAGCAGGGCAGGCTGGTACCACAATTACATATTGGACCACCTCCAGCTAGAGGTAGCTGTGAACGTCCACTGTGGTTTGAGATGCTGAGCATGAGGGTTATTTGGGGGAGGGGGGGCTTTTTTCTTCTGCTTCAGCAGCAGATGTGTCTAAAAGGCTCTAAAAACTATCTTAGACTAACTTTGGGGGTATCATTGTTTGGTTCCCCAGAGTCCTTAAGGCCAATTGGTGGGCTATGGAATAATGAGAAGAGGAGGAAAAGTGCATTAGCATCACTTGCAAGAAAGTGGCTGTTTTGCTTCCTTGAGGATGAGGAAGAAAAGGGCACACTAGCAGCACCTGAAGTCAAATGACTGTTCTGTGCCTTTCTAGAGTAGAATAAGAGGAGCAGGAGTAGGAATTGGGAGAATTAGCAGCACTTTCAGGCAAGTGGCCAGTCTGCGCCTTAGAGGAGGAGGAAAAGAGCACTTTAGCAGAAATTGTTGGCAACTGGGTTGTTCTGTACCCTTGAGAGGGAGGAGAAAAAGGGTACATTAGCAGCAATTCTCTTCCTCAAGTGACTGCTCTGTGCTTCTAAGGAGTAGAGGAGAGGGAAATGGATACACTATCAGAATTTGCAGGCAAGTGGTTGCTCTGTACCTTTGAGGAGGAAGAAAATGGTTCTGTAGCAGCACTTGCAGGTAAGTGGCTGCTCTGCACCTAGGAAGAGTAAGAAGAGAAACCACTTCACTACTTTCTGTGAAATTCACCACTGGTGAGGTGAAAAAATAAACCTTAGCTCCCAAGAACCTCTCCAGCTTGCCTCTCTCAAATGTGTATTGCATTTCATTAAGAAATCAAAAAAAGTCAACAAGGAATGCTTTCACCTTGGCAGAGGTATGGTGAGATTGGAGGAAATAAGGGAGGAGGTAGAGGTGGTAGCGAAGGAGATGGAGGTGAAGGAGTAGAAGGCGTTAGGAGGCACATTAATGACACTAGCCACCTACCACCTCCAGTCACAGCACCTCTACCTCTCCATTTGTTCACTGTCATATGGAGAAGGTTTTCAGGAGTCTCCCACCCCACACTGTCTCATGGTTTAGAAAGGGTCAGGGCTAGGTTTAGGTTTGTTAGCTTTTGGATGTTTTGTGCCTGGTCATAATTTTGAAGTAATTAAAAAAATATTGAATTTGGTAATTTTCCTGTTAGACACATAGCTCACATTGACATATGGTAAACATTCTGTATATTTAAAATCCACAGGATCCCATGAAGAAAACAACATCATTAACAATATATAATTTATTACAGCAGTGTATTGAACATCGGAACTGCTCTGGTGAATGTGAAAAATGTGCTATTTTTCAATACTATGGCACCCTGTTGCAGTTTGTATAAGAAGACAAAGAAATATATTTAGTGCAAGAAATGTAAAGTTTAATTGAGGAGGGTTAACTAAGAAGCAGTAATAAGATGCAGGATTTAACAGATCTAAAATAGGATGGGTGGTAATTTTTCAGAGAAATGAATTAGTATCTCAAGCTTTGGGCCCAAATGCGAAGTCTTCATTTATCACAGCAGAAATTTCCTTGGCCTTGGCAAGGATCACAGGGATCAGGACAGCAGGAGACAGGGACAAACACAAGGGTTGCATGGATTGCATGGATCTGCCAAGAAAGAAATATTTAATTAGTAATAGACTATTACTTAGTATCAAATATATATTTTTTACTATTGACTACAGGTGATATTTATTTTTAAAGCTAGCAGTCATATTAAACAT